ACTGACCTGCAGCCTTTACTGCCTTGAGAAAACAAATTGTTGTCATTCCTGGCATGTATCTGCATCTAGGAAAACAACATATTGGCAGCCGTGTAGTTTTTCTGTGATGTAGACAGTACTGAAAACTCTTAGCTGCCAGCATGGAATAAGTCCTTACCAAGCTATGCACACTTGAAGTCTGTAGGCTTTTGAAGAAATTATTTGTTTTTTATAAAACTGAGTTTCAAAGCTTTTTAAAAAATTCACTACCTAACTACAGAATTAAATAACTGACTTGACCTTCCAATTTGAAACCTTTGTCCCCTTAGATTTCCCCGTGCATTAATCCACACGTGCTTATGTTGGAGGTGAACCTCATGGTAGTTTTCTCTTTCACAAATGTCTATTTAAAAATACAACAAATCAAAGCCCTGTCTAATGAATTACATTTAAAACACGTTGCTAGTTGCTAGTTCTGTCTTAGTGCCCACAGAGATGGCAGTGTCAGCACCCGTGTGCACTATGCCTTCCTTGGTGGCCAGGGTGTTAGTGCATGGCTGATGAGCCTGTGCTGTTCCCATTGCCTGTGCTCAGCTGAGCACTGGCCATCCAACCCGCTGTAGGGCATCACTTGTTTTGAAAGACAAAGAAATTAATTCAGTGGGGGCTTAATGTTCTTGTTTCTACATCCAAGATTGTGTTACTGTTTCTAGATTTATCTTAAATAATAGACATTATTTTTTTTAAAAAAATACGTCTATTTGTATTGAGAACAATCTTTCTATATTCATGTCTATTTTTAAATATATGTATTTTTGATACTGTATTTTTATTCATGTTTATTTCATCCGTACACACATACTCACACGCCTACAATATCTTATACTATCCAAATATTGATTGCAGTTGTATGCCAACTTAAGCTTTTTTAGTAGGAGGTATCATGGAATCTTATCATACAGCTGTACATGACTTTGCCAGATTTGAATCATTCAGGCAGTAGTTTTCTATCCTGATATTAGTGTCATATGGAATCACTTTTTAAGAACAACAATTTGTTCTTTCCAATAGCAAGGCTAAGAGAAAATGTATTTCACTGTCCAAATTTAAAAGTCTTAGAACGTTGGAGATGCTCTAGTGCAACTTCTGTGTCTTTAGGGGTGCTGAGGAGGGAAGGAAGGTCCACAAGGTTATTTTGGGCAAGGGAGCTGCTTTTGCCAGTTCTGCGTGAGTTGCCACCTTCTCACCAAGTTATAAACCATCGAGGAGGATGCTTGTGTGTGCTCAGCAGAGACTTATTAAAGGTTGCCACCTAAGTTCTCAAAAGGTTCCACCTGAGTCAAGGGTATAAAATCTATAGAGTTGTAAAAACATGCTTTATCTTCTTATATCCGCTGCATCATTCGCTTTTGACAATTTTTGCATGAAACTATGTAGGTGTCCAGATTCTACAAATAACATTTCTGTGTTCTACCCAATTTTGACTAATAGCAGAAGGCGCAGCCTATGCCAAGGATCCAGCAGGGTAGAAGAGAGCAAGAAGGAAGAAGCAGATTTATGATAATACAGCTAAAATTGCATGTGATGCTTTTACATGAGAGGATCCAATTGTGCCTGTTCAGAGAAGCTTAACTGTGCTATTTCTTAGAGTCTGAGTGTTTGCCTTTGTAGTACTAACAGACTTTTAATCCAGCTTCTGTGTGGTCTGTCTGCAGATAAACATTTGTGCTTACATCCGCTCTTATGTATGTAAGATGTACACACAAATGTGTCTGTTTCTGTAAGTGCTCTTAGACAAAAGGTTACATTAGATTGCAGCTAAGAATAGGGCTCTATTGTCAAGTTTAAAGATGTTTAAAAAAATACATGTTGTTTTGCTCCCCCAAAGGTTTTACAAGCGCAGGAATTTAGAGTCAGCTCTAAGGTATGTTGAAATGTGCGCTTGAGATACTCGGCAATTTTAATTTAGCCACTGTGTGTGTCATCCATTGTGGCAAAGTCATGCTAGTACTTCCAACATTACTAGCACATTTGTCTTTTTTAGGATGGTTGTTGTGTGTCATCCTATCATTGCTCCCCCCTACACCCCGTTTCATGACACTGTTATAAAAGGAGTAGTAACTTTGCAGGTCAATTCAAGGATGCTGAAGAAGAGTGGAAGAAGCACCAGGTTTTCTATGAAAGAACTTTATCTAGCGCACTGTGAAGTCCCTCCTCATTGATGGAGAAAAAGAGGCCTGGGGAGAGAAAAGTCAGTGAAATACATGACGTGGTAACTGGGAGTAAGAGGCAGGGCTTTATAGCTGAGAAGGTCAAAATATGAAAAGGGTTAGAAGAAGAGGAACCACTGAAATGGCTCACAGGGAGGATATCATACACAGAATTATCTTCATACAGAAAAAAAAATAATGTTTTAAATAGATCAGAGATGGAGGTGGGGCTACTTACAAAGGAAGATCCAATAATCAAAATAGAGGATGCTGTAAGGTAGCATGATAATTCTGAAAGCAAAAATGAAAGCTTCTGCTTCAGACCTGTTTTGGAGAAAAGGAATGGAGGTATGGGTATCTCCAAGGAAAAATTGAATTCATAACGCATAAGATGAAGATGATGCACTTTTAAGAGACAATGGAGGGGATTTTGGTGAAAGATTGGGGGTTAGTTTTACCTTTTGAAGCTTAAATTAGCAGATATCAAGAGCTGGAGTAGAGCAAGCAAGGCTACAGAATTCTTAAAAACATACATAAAAAATACATATATACATATATATATACATGTATAAGTATACATATATACTTATATGTATATATAAGTTGAAGGAAGGTTCTCCTAAATTTTTACTGGTATTTCACCAAAGCCACGTGAATGACAGAGAGGAGATGGAAAGAGAGAAGATGATTACAATCTCATGTAGGTGGAGAACACAGTGGATAAACCAAGAAAATGGAAGAAAATTAGGAAAGAGTTGAGTTACACAAATTAAGCTGAAGATTAAGAAGGAAAGTTAAATCTTCTGCTGTTTTGTCACTCTTGAAACTAGGAAGGATGAGAATAGACTTGATGGTCTGAATGTTAGGCAAGGAAGAGGCTGTTAGACACCTTAGGTCAAAACTCTTTTACTGGAAGAAAAGGCAAGGTGGAGAGAGACAATTAAAGACAAAGGCTATAACTGGCATGGCCAAGAAGGTTAAGACAGAAGTGCAGACTACAAGTAAGGGATGTTAATCGAGAGGGTTGGGGAAGCATGGGGAGAAGACACACACAAGGCAGATTAGATTAAAGGGATGTCTTTAAGAACTTAGCTGAAATGAGTCCACTCCAAAGAGGATGAGAATGTGTAGAGGAGAACAGGGAATTTGTGAATGTTTGTGAATGACACGTTATGGATTTCTTTAAGTGAGCAAGACCATGAATACAATATTTAAACTTTGAAGGGATTAAGTTTCAAGAGGGATTCACTAGGTGGCTGTGATTCAGGAAATAAAGAAACAGTTAATCTTCACCTGGTCTAAATCAACAGTGCCTTCTTGCATCAGTGCTTGCAGTGATTTACATAAATTCAATAACTGAGTCACCCAGAATGGTGAATTGAAGGGACTGTTGTAAAGCCCATGGAAAATGGAATATAGTGGAAGACATCCAGATCATCTGTTCAAATAATAAGCGTATTCATCCTGTGAAAAATGAGCTCCAAGACTTCAGCCATCCTGGTAATTCTTAGTTTTTACAGGAGAGCTTTTATTGCCATCTACCGGTCCAACTAGGCAGCTCACTCCTCTGCAAGTCCTTTCTAAGAAGCATTTGGAAAATGTTTGCTTGCTGAGAAAATATTTTGAAGAGATTGTTTCAGAATATTCCTTAGGCAAGCTTATCTTTGGCACGCTATCAGACGAGTCTGTTTGTAGTTAGCTATGTCGGCATGCCAAGCTTTATGAAAGGGGGTTCATACAAACATCTGGAACCCGACGCACCCATAAACACACTCCAACACATGCTTTGCTTTGCAGGAAATTAGCTCTAGGAACACACAGAGGGGTTTTTGTGTCCACTATGCAGTGACGCTATGTGCATGCGCTTTTAAAACCAGACTTGTCAAGATTTCTTTCCACCTTCAATTTCCAAACTACTTAAAAAATTAATATGACTTCAAGAAAATCTTTCTCTCCATTAGGTTTGCAGAAGCCCCAAAATTTTGGGGGGGAACTTGACTCTTGTAATCCAATTAAATCTGAATCAATTCATTTAGAAAGCAGAAGATTAACTATTTTACAAAAACAGTTATGGAAGTGAAAGGCCTAATTCTAAGTACTTTTTTTAGCAAGATTCCAATGGAGTCCGTAATCCTAAATAAGATCCCTGGAATAAATCTCTGGTTTTTCTAACCTGGAAAGTCTTTTGCAGTATGAAGTTTCTAAGAGCTGGATGTTGACTGCTTTTCTGGAGGCAGCTGTGCTGACTGAAAACTCATTGCCAGGCTGCCCTATAACTCAGATCTGCAGAATGTTTCTCTTTTCCTCAGATGAACTAGCTGTTTGTATGTTCAGAATGAAGAAGACTGCAACAACTTGTTTAAATTATTTAAAGTAACTTCACTCATTTTGAACAAAGCAAATGAAAAGATGGCCTGTCAATGGCAGTTGCCTCAGTCTGCGCACAGGTGTGTATACCCTTGCATCCATAGGTATACAAAAAGCTTCTCCCACAACGTTAAATCTGAAGAAACTGTGAGGAAAGGGAAACGTAGAGAAAACAGAAGGGCCTTTTTTTTTTTTTTCTCACTAGATTTGCTGCTATGGACTTGTAAACTAAGTATCAACTTCTGAAAGAAGAGGACATAGTCATGTTTTCTTTTCCTTCCAACCCTCTTATGTACATTCCTGAGAGCACCATGTCCTGACCATCATCCTAGTGACCATTGTTTGCAGATCTTAACCAAAGCTTTCATACTCATCCTCACTCATGGTTCTTTTTGTTTGTTTGTTTTATTTTGTTTTGTTTTGGTCTTTATTCTTCTCTCACAGCTACAGGCCCCCAATGTGAAAGGCTTTGATTTTGCTAAGCAGCATTTGGGCCAGCACAATAAAGATGAAGTCCTGATTATCCATGAGCCGGCTCCTTTACCAGGACCTATTAAGGATACTACCCCATCTGAAAATGGAGATGTGCCCAGCCCCAAGTCCAAGACTTCCTCAAAGCCTTCAAAGACCGTTCGACACAGAGGGAGGTCAGTGAACAGATGACAAACAGCCTTGTGGTAGTTTACAGTTTATGAATGTCTAGTCATTATCGTATTTTGCAGGTTAATCTCAGCAGACAGACTTCAGCATCAGCACTTCTAGTGGGCCACCGGTTATGCCTAGCTATTGTTTGTTATTTGATGATCTTGAAGGTCTTTTCCAACCATTATGATTCTGTGGTTAGCAGGTTGTGAGAATTTGGTGTCCATTTCTGGTTGACAACAAGTTAACCATGAGGAAGCAGTGTGTCCTTGTGGCCAAGAAGGCCAATGGGATCCTGGCCTGCATGAGGAGGAGCGTTGCCAGCAGGTCGAAGGAGGGGATCCTTCCCCTCTACTCAGCTCTGGTTAGGCCGCACCTGGAGCATTGGGTGCAGTTCTGAGCTCCCCGGTACAAGAGAGATGTGGAGCTTCTAGAGAGGGTCCAGCGGAGAGCCACGAAGATGATTAAGGGACAGGAGTATCTGTCATATGAGGAAAGACTAAATGCGCTCGGCCTGTTTAGCCTGGAGAAGAGAAGATTGAGAGCGGATCTTATCAACATATACAAATACCTGAGGGGAGAATGTGAAGAAAATGGGGCCAAACTCTTTTCGGTGGTAGCCAGTGACAGGACACGGGATAATGGGTATAAATTAAAATACAGGAAATTTAATCTCCATGTGAGGAAGAACTTCTTTCCTATGAGAGTGACAGAGCCCTGGAACAGGCTGCCCAGAGAAGATCTCCTTCTCTGGAGATCTTCCAAACCCGCCTGGACGCCACCCTGTGTCATGTGCTCTAGGTGTCCCTCCTGGATCTCTAGATGATCTCTAGAGGTCCCTTCCAACCTCAGCCATTTTGAGATTCTGTGACTTTTCTCTTAATGGCAGCATGTCCAGTTAAAAGAGTTCTTTAGGACCGGACTAGTTGGAGTCAACACATTGCTTGTTTGGTAGAGACACTAAAGCGTGTTTTTGTAGGGACCCCTTGCTACCAAGGCAGCACATGGTTAAATGAAAAACAATGACAGGTAATAACAATTTATGTTTTAATTATACTAAGTGACCAGTATACTTATGATAAGTCAGATTTTCAAAAAATAAGCAGTAAATACAAAATCTCGTGGGGATGCATGAGTGCTTTCCATTGCGGTTATCCTTTCTTTTTTTCACAGCAAACCTGTTTTGGTCAGGAAAAGGAGTGATAATTTACAGCTGTGCAAAAAGAGGAAAGACTGTCATCCTTCACTGGTAGTTTCCTACACTTCCTCGTGCATCAAATGAAATGAATGTGTCCTGTCAGAAAGAATTGTGTCTGTAGGAGAGAAGCTGAAACAAAGCTGTGCAGTAAGGAAGGATCTGTGTGCAAAAAAGAAAAAATAAGGCAAAAGTGCGAGAGAAGTTGGTAGGAAGAACATGGAGCCCTGAGGAAGGCTGTGCTGTAATGAATCACAAACAACTCAGCAGGACCAAACTCCCCTCTGCTCTGCTTCCCAATAATTCTTCCCCTCCCTCCTTTTCACACTCTCTTGTCTCCAGCTCTGCATGTTCCTGTGCTTTTACCTATGTGCTATTGCAGTGTGGGAGAAAAGAAAATGTAGAAGCAGTGTCGAATGAGATGAGAAAGAAGCTGCTGGTGGTTCCTCCTGTGCTGCAGGTCTCCTGGAGGCAGCTTGCTCCTCTGCCGAACCTTCTGCGCTTCCTCCAAAGCCCTCGTTGCTCTAAGGTTCTTGCTTCATCTTCCCCACATGGGCTTCTCGCAGCGCCGTTTCCTTCATCGCAGCTGCCAGGCCTGACTTCCCACCTCCCCATAGGCTTCCTGAACTATAGATTACCACCACTCAGTGGGAGGCTGGAAGGATACGAAAATAAGAGAAGGAAATGTAGCTTAAATTGATAGAAATCAGAAGGACAAAGATTCTGGTATTTTTCTTTAAAAGTTCAAAAGTGGCCTAAGATGTTGGGGAGCAGAAGGTGCGTTTGTGTGTTCATATGCAAGTAAATATAAGAAACAAATTTTAGTTTCAGAATGTTACAGTATTTCATCTAGAATAAGTCAGAAAATGAAAATTTTCAGAAGCCAACATTTTGCTTTTGAAAGACTCTAAATTCAAACCCTTCCAGCTGCTGTACAAAGAATTTCCCTTTTATCCCTTACCCACTGTTAAATGCAAACCTCCCTTTGGGCTTAACTATGGAGATGTTACCATCATCTCTGTAACATGCTGACATGCCCATGTCAGCCTAGATTTGAAACATTTACTCCCTAAAGGGGAAGTTGAAATGCAAAATGATAATGTAGAGTGTTATGTTGTTTCAGTTGTTTTCTGATTCATTATAATGCAATTCAGAACTCTGTTGCATACCAGTAAATGTAGTGGTGCCTGAGTGCTTTCCATATTGCTTTAAAAAAAGGGGGGATGGGGAAAGACAGCTAATTTTCAGAAAACATTGCATCCTTAGGCTCTGGCTCAGAGTGGGACCTGTTGTTTTGTTTGGAGAGGCGACAATTGAATAGTCCACAGCAGTTACCATGAAGGAAGACTGCTGTTCACTTGACACTTGTATATTCCTGTAACATATTTCCTGGCAATTTAGATAGAGTGAGGAATGAGTATGAAGGAAAGCAAAGCACACAAAGGTGGAACAGTCAGTAGTAGATGCATGATGGAGAAGATAGCTCTGCCCCCTCTTTCCACTGTAGAAAAGAAGAAAAGGTGCAATGGTGCAGATCTGTAAGCTCGTTGAGAACCATTTCTCTTTATTTTTTTTTCCCTTGCTAATATTTTATTGAGATAAATAAGGCTGATTAGTATTACAAGCCTGCAGAGACAAAAAAAAATAATAGTAGAGTGTTGGATTATCAGGGCATTATCCAGAGAGGGGAAAAGGGGAAGCTGAGCTGGGAGCTCTGCTTGCTGCAAGCATTAGGTTTAACTTTCAAAGAGCTTGTCTAGCTGAGAGTAGGTGTCTTGGCCTGTGCCTACCAGGCAGCCTGGCGTTCAGCTGGGGGCCTCAGAAACGTGCCCACGTATCCACCCAGCGCTAGCCAGTCCTGCACTTAACACGGTTAGGGCAGTGACTAGTCCACACTTAAGATGATTACCTCCTGCATGGATCAAAGGGACAGTCCCGTGTGAAAAGACCAGCTTTGGTGTCAGCTGTGTGGGGTTTGTCCTGTATTTATCCTTTTTTTTTTTTTTTTCATATGGTGTGATTCGTTTCACAACCAAATCATTCTGATGGAGAAAATCACATCTCTTCAGATTTTTCTGTAATTGCTTGCAATTATTCAGATGAAAAAAATGAAGTTACATAAATGGTATTTCTGTCTCCTGAGTGTCCAAAAAGGTTTTAAGGACAAGATAGGTATTTTAATAACAGTGTTGTGGATATGTTTCTGTAGGACAGACTGGAGGAGAGCAGAGTCTGGGCTCATAATTTGTAGGCAGCAAGTATTTTTAAGGATTTTGTGACTGCATGGGTAAGTACATTAAAGCTGGATTTCTGAACAGCCCTATATTTAATCAGGCAGGAAAATATTCCCATGGACTTTTAATGTTTATAAGAGAAAACTGTTTCAAACAGTTTTCACACACATGATAACAGTAAGATCATGGTAATGAATAGCTAACTGTTTATTTATAGTGAATTTACTTAGAAAATAGTAGCGGTCATCACAAGATACATTAATACAGGATTCTTTGCACGTGAGAAGGCTGCCCCTTTATAAGCTTACACTATGTGTTGATTGGTTGTTGGGTTTTTTTTTTTTTTGGTGTTTGTGGCAGAATTTCTCCGTCAGACGCTGACTCCACAGCAAGTGAACAGTCCAGTGGGAGAGAGACAGGGGAAGAAACTGCAAGACCATCAGCAGCAACAAATGAGGGCAAACCACGCAGAGCAGTGAAGAAAGGTTTGTTACGTTTTCTTCTTGTGTGCAATAGTAGCATTCTCCTGGCATAGATAAAACTTTTTCTAACATCTTATCTGGCAATTAAAATTTCTGGTTTGCGTCGCAGAAATTTCCTTTTAATCTATTCTGTTGTAACCAAAGATCTACACGTTCATTTCATGCCGGCATGCTTTTGAACCGAATGGCTTAACTGGAGGGAGGTTTCCTCCTTCTTCTCTTCTGCACCCCCTGGCAAAGCTCTTCTGATTTATGCATCACTGTGGCTGTCTTCACAGCAGTTTTGGAGAAAGTTATGTGTGCAGTGGGGCTCACCACGGGCCTTGATACAGCACGGGCATGTGTCTGTAACTGCAATTTGAAAAAGAGAAAAAAAAAAGAACTCAAAGTTTTAAAGATGAGTTATAATTCAGGCATCAAGGCGCCTTGATGTTATGCTTTAGAAAGAGGAAAATACAGTGATAATACATCAATAGTGGTGTGTTTTTTTTTTTTTAATGTGTATGGAGAACCACATTTCTACTGCTGAAAATGCGGCCATTCATCTTAAAGCTCCCACGTGGGAACTTTACTCCTTTCCTCACTTAGGAGTTGATAAAACACTGCTAAATGACTTTTTTTTTTAATTAAAGTTAAATTATATTCCAGTTTAAAAGTGTGTGGTTAACTGGGTCAAAAAGTTTTGTTTCTGAGTTTAGGTAGCCTGCGCCTTGCTTGAGGATTTGTTTGCCAGATTTTTGGCTTAAATCAGGATAGCTTTCCTATGGAAAATTCTGATAATAAAATATCTGGTAAAGAAGCTTGTAATATCCTGGTCTGTTTTTAATACATGTGGTCTTGGTAGTAGTAGAAACTGAGAAGGAAAAAATACCGTCTATATTATGAAAAGTCTTCCATACATTGAGTGTTTTTCCATGTGTCTAATGAAGTACCAGCTGAGATGTAAAGGTAGCTGCTGAAGAATGTGGTGCCACGGTGTCACTGAACTTCAGGTCATAGCTGGCATTCTTCAATTTATGCTGATCTTGAAGAGGTGACATTTAGAGGCATATGTAAGATAGTCATTTTAAATACACCATGAGGCCTTGGCCAGTTGAACAGCCGGTTAAGCAGTGCATGGTTTGCAGCTTTCATAACATGGACTCCTTCTGCAAGTGCAGAAGTGATGGAGCAGGCTTGCTTCTCTAATGAGCATGTAAGGAAACACAGTACAAACTGCAGAAATGTGACTAGAAAATTATATATGTGTATATTTCCGTACCTTGGTTTTATTCAGGAAACAGAAATCATACCTAGATTAACATATATAAAATAATGTTATGACAAAGCTTATCTCAGGCAAGACACCTGTCTTATGAGTTGCTTCAACCTATCTGTCTTCAATTCCATGACCCTGATTTGGTGTTGTCCCATTTCATCTTATGAGGGAACTCCATATTTTTATTTCTTCGTCTGGCTTGGAACCCATATGTAAGGTTTAGCCTGTCGTTTTAGTGTAGAAATGCTACATATTGCTAGATCTTGAGTATCTGGAGGAATGCTGTGTCAAAAGTGTCCTTTCTCATCCATAGTGCCCTTGCCAGATAATTTCGTTTCTTCAGCAGTTGGTCTCTGTGATTACTACTCAGGCAATTCTTAACTCTCAGAGTTGGCCTGAGTATCTGCAGAGAACTCTGTGCCTTTTTAGCAGCAGAATCAGCTCCCTTTTTGTGCAGCTGAGGCTTGGCAGTTTGATCCAACTTACACATTTCATTCAAAAGTAAATACAATCATTTTACTGCTGTATTTTTTTTTCCAATTGCCGTTCCAGCTGAATTATTTGTAATAATTACTGTGTTGTCTCTTCTTTTTCTTTTATGTTGTCAGGAGCAAACAGAGTGGGTAAGTAACCAGAGCCCGTAGTTGAGTACAAGTATGAATAGAGGTGCTGGGGTAGCTGTAATTATATCTTAAGCATGAAAGGATTTGTCTTCTGAGTCGAAAAAACAAAATTGCTTTTGAGTTATTGACGTAGAAAAGGTTCTCAATAACACAAATTATAGTCATTCAATACAAACACATTTTTCTAATTGCCTCCAAATTCTTTCAAATTATTGAGGAAAACATCCTCACTGTGAAAGAGGCAAAACTGAGGCAAGCTGTTCTTGCTTGCTATAAACAAGTTACGGTCACAGTCAGCAATGCTTAGAATTGGCCTCTCTACTGGAAGCTTAAGAGAAATGCAGGCAACCTACAAGGAAGCACAAATATTTCCTCATTAAATAAAGTGTTTTACCGATCAGGAATGAGACAAAGCAAAGATCAGAAAGGAGAAAGCTGGCACTCTCTTTGCTAATGCAAACCCTGTCTGGTGATAAATTAAGGACCGGGTTCTTTCACCATCCTTTCTCTCTCCTAAGAGCAAAGACAGAGGGGCCGAGGCTGGCAATGAGCCTTTCCCTGGTCAGCCTTGTCCTCGCAGCTAAGAGAGGCATCAGCCGCATCCCGGGGACACAACCTGTCGGGATATAAACCTGCTGTGTGAAATTCAATCTGTGCAGGATTCAAAGCCCAGTGGATCAGTGGAAGATCGCCATTGACTTTAGCTGGTTGGAGGTTAGATTTCTTGCACACTGCTTGCAACATCCTTTCTTTTTTATTTAAAGAGGCTGGGGAAAAGAGTAGTCTCCCTCTTTCCTACAGAGCAATTCCTTCTGCCAACGCTTCAGTTCAGGCCAGCAATTCCAGTGCAGGCATTAGTGAGCATTGATCCTGACAAGTGACCTATACAGACCAGTTGTTGAAACCTGCTCTGTCCACTGTTCGGATAATTTAATTCCTCTCCATTTTTTTTTCAGATTTAGCCCTCTGCTCTGAGATCAAAATTGCATTCATAGAGTGCAAGCACATCTGCTAGCTTCTAAGAAAAACTTTCTAACTGTGAACAATAGTGTAGTGAAAGCATTTTGAAATGAAAAGTGATTCTTATTTTATCATGTCAGAACTTCTTAAGGAGGTTGTTTGTGTGCTGTGTTTGAAATAGTCAGGTTTTTTATGGTGCTTGTACAGCATTGTGCAGTTGCTAGTGTTCTTAGCCGCTTTGGTACACTTTCATATTGGTTTGCATTTATAAATGCAATCGGTATGCATACAGAGATAATGTAAAGCCCAAACCTGACATAGCCATTTTAAGTAAAAACAAAATAAAAAGCACTGGATATTATTTACAAGTGGTACTTATATATGTATTCATATATTGGAGTTTGCGAGTGTGTACTTGAGGTAACTCTTTTAGATGTAGATTAACTAATTGAACTGAAATAGCACTACATTAATTATGGCATTGAATTCTTGGGAATCGTTCTCCTTTCTGGAGGTATCAGGAGTTTTTGTTCCTGTGCTTAAGGAGATATAATCAAATCTAAACTGCAATTCTCTTTGAGTGTTTTCCTTTGAAAGTAAGCCTTATTGCTCGTATAGCAGATGGCATGAAAGTTAATCTTGCCACTTTTACCATACTTTTCCTTTGTCTGTTTGTCCATTTGGCCTTTTTTGGTGTATTTCTTTATTATTTGGTACATTTCTGCATATATTTACTCATTCTAGCGCTGGTACTGTGAGTTACATGCTGGGAACACATCCCTGCTAACTTTGTTGGTATTCACTGTGAGGATAGGGCTTATTCTTGCGGTGTGTGCTATGGGGACATGGCTTCAGACAATGTGTCCTTTTTTGTTCTGTTTAGCTTGAAAAGGAGAGGGGTTAGGGCATCTTACCAAGATATGTAGATATCTGAAGGGAGAGTGTAAAGAAGACACAGTCAGACTCTTCTTGGCTGTGCCCTGCGACAGATCAAGAAGTAAAAGGCACAAATTGCAGCACAGAAATTTCAGTCTGGACATAAAACCAAACCAACCAGCCAACCAAAAACCCACTTCTTTACTGTGAGGGTGGTCAAACACTGGAACAGGTTGACCACAGAGGTCTTGGAGACCATTCTTGGAGACAAACAAAACCAGACTGGAGATGATCCTGAGCCCTCCAGCTCTAGGGGATCCTGCTTAAGCAGAGGAATTGGACAAGAAGATATCCAGAGGTGCCTTCCAACCTCAAGAATTAGTAGTATGAAAATATAGCCTAAAATTTCTTTGTTGGAGGTCTGCGAGTTTTCCGAACTGCTGTTAGACTGGAAAGGGATAGAAAAACATGACTAGTGTGTGTAAAAATTGAAAGACAGATGCAACATTCAGATTTCCATTGCACTGCAGGCTCACTCTGAGTGATTTGGACAGACTGCTTAATATATCTTGTGCCTCTCTCTGAGAAGCAATGCTTGCTTGCTTGAAAGAAACGAGTGAAGATTGTACCCATTAATTATTGTGAAATGACAGATGGTAAAGATTATATAAATAGCTACAAAAGAGAGGTAGATATATTTCAATTGGTTAAAAGAGTCGGTGTCTTGCAAAACATTTGACATGCAGAGATCTTGAGCGGAATTTTTTTTACCTTCGCTTATATAGGAAAATATCATTTATAAGTGATGCACACTAAAGTGCCAATTTTACAATACATTGATCAGGTTTGAGATAAATGTGGGAAATAAGATTTTTTTTTCATTTGGGGCCAGACTGCATTCCAGCCCAAAGCAATATGGAGTGAATTTTATGAAGAGTGCCATTCCTTCCCTTTGCTGCTCCTCTTCTGTGCTATAGGGGGGATGTAAAGGAGTAATTAATGTACACAGCAGTCTTCCGTAGAAGGTAACATTCACTTCTCTGAACCTTACACTTCATTACCACCAGGCATTGCAAATGGATCCAAGCAATGGCTCTTTTCTTTCCTGTCTGTCAGAGTTGGGTCAGGCTCATAATTTCCACTCTTTCTCCTCCTGATCCTGAGTCTGAGAATCATGACCCATGCAAGGATTCAGAAATCTGTCCCTCTTCTCCATTGTGTTTCTCCACAGGAAAGGTCATAGATCTAAACATCTCATTACTTGTATTTCATGGTGAAAAGTAGTTTGAGAACTTGTAAAAACAAGACAAATGATAATTTTACAATTCTTTACTGTACAACTAAGTGCAACCATTATGTCAAGTAAGTTGAACTTACTTGGCATAATGGTCCATACCAGCCTAGGGAAATAAAAAAAATAAAAAAAAAAAACCAAGAAAAAGAAGACCCTTAAACATTTGCTTAACCACAATCCTCAGGATTAATTTTACAGTTCTTTACTGTACAACTAAGTCCATACCAGCCTAGGGAAATAAAAAAAATTAAAAAAAAAAAAACAAGAAAAAGAAGACCCTTAAACATTTGCTTAACCACAATCCTCAGGATAATTTTACAGATTTCGAGTCTTTGAGGGAAAAAATCCATTCCT